TTTCATTTAAGTATTTGTTTAACTCTAATATTTATAAAATAAAAATTTTGTTCAAATATATTCAAAATTGGATGAAACAATAATAATCTATTATTTTGCCTAATTAATTAATATACAAATTTTCGTGTTAATAAAAGTAAGAGAAAATAAAAAGAAAACATACCGTACGTAAAAAATATCTCTTTAACACTTAAAAAAATTAGAGACTCCATTCTCAATCATCTCCGTGAGATCTTTGGATACTTGAATACTCAAAGTACGATTGATTTTTAAAACCATCGTGCAATAAGATTCTCAACTGCAACTTTCAAGGTTGACATTTTCTTAATGCGATTTTAAATCGGTGTGTTCATAACTTTTTAGTGTTCTATTTTCATTTAAGTATTTGTTTAACTCTAATATTTATAAAAATAAAAATGTGTTCAAATATATTTAAAATTGAATGAAACAATATATTTTGCCTAATTAATTAATATACAAATTTTTGTGCTAAAAAAATTCGAGACTCCATTCTCAATACTCAACAAGTATACGATCGATTTTGAGAAGCATCCTGCAATAATAAGATTTTCAACTGCAGCTTTCACGAGGTTGACATTTTCTTAATGCGATTTTAAATCGGGGATCGTGGAATCCAATCGACCGGACGTCGGCAGTGGAAGGTTCATCAGCGCAATCAGCGGGATTGGTCTGTCTCAAATTACAGACCAAGCTAGAAGGGGGACAGAGTAAGCAAGCAGTCCGCGCTTCGATGATTCAAGCGGGATCTCTGCGGATCGAAACCGATCGAAGGGCGAGCAAAACCGGAAACGCACCCCGGCCGCTACTAAACCGCAGCTATAAGCTCGGCGACGCGTCGGGATGCAATTCCCGGATCCATTAAATTTTCCTATTACCACACTGCGCTATACATATCGAGCACGCGTGCCTCGCGTCGTCGTAAACATAATTACATAACCGCAAGCTGAGAAATACGTGCATAAGTTTGGAAACACCTTACATTTTACAGTTAAACAATCGTATCGCAACAGCGATCTGTGTAGATTTGTTGTGTCAAATCGTAAAATATTTAAATAACATTTTTATTTATGACAGATCGCTGCCATGCGATTGTTTAACTGTAAAATGTAGTGTTTCCAAACTTGTGAAAGGTACTGTATGCAATAAATAACAAATGTCCATTTATAAGACTGGTTTTTGTTATGATTAATAATGTTTCAAATAATATACTGATAAAAAACATTCCATTAAGTTTATATTCCTGCATGTTACGAATATCTAATTCAAGAATATTTCTTTAGAGAATTTTTCTCTCAAATTAAAAGGATTCTTTTGAGAGATCTGTGCAAATAAATAAATCATAAAATAAACATAAAATATTTAAATGGCATTTTTATTTATAACAGATCGCTGCCATGCAATTCTTTAACTGTAAAATGTAAGGTGTTTCCAACCCAGGTAGAAATCTGCCTCGATTTGCCGAGATTAAATACAGGGCCTAAGTAAAAAAATCCAGTTTGAAGTATCTAACAATAAGTCCAGAATACACCCTAGAAATTTACCTTTATTTTACCGAGAAAAAAATCTGCATATGTTCTAGATTGCCACTGACATATTTTTCCCAAATTAGAATAAATATGAAACTATAGTATAGACTCCACATAATTTTTCTACAAATTCTGGGCGTAATCTTGAGCCCACCCGGATTCTGCGATAGGGCCTGTACGATTTAGGCGTCCCAAACTTTACACTGGTTCTAGTTAGATTTTTCACTTGGATTCCAGAAATATTTTTAAAAGAATATATGGAGTCCTGATTATTTCCAGACAAAATTTCTACCTGGGGAAACTTATGGAGGGTATTGTGTATACTGGTCTTGACCGGTCTTTCCTCGTCATATTAGCGCGATTCCCGTCTCTTCTTTCAACGATCACGAGAACGTTCGTGCTTTTTCCATTCTCCACCTGTCAAGCTTTCGAGAGACGATATACGTCTCTCTCTCTTTCTCTGTCGCGCGATACACAATGACGGAAAACTCGTTCATTGCGATTGCGATGCCAACTTATACGAGCTTCGCAACAGCGACTACGAGAGAAAATCAATAGGTCCTTTTAACCCTCTCCTATGTGAGTGGCTTTCATGGGAAAAACGCTGCGAACGAGTGCCCGAAGCCGAGTTTTGTCGTGTATTGTTTATTGGTTAATTGTTGGAATTTCTTTTAATCAAAGGGACGCGTTGACGCTCGGCTACGAGAGAGATAGGGATGGAGAGAATGGGGAAAACTGGTGACCGCGTGTATAAAACGAAGCTTATTGATTTATATATTCACTGTTTCAATATAACGCATCAGACGTGATAGCATAATAGAATCCGACTATAACGAGTATCGACACATAATGAAGTTTTCACTATTGGTTAATTGAAATGTTATCCTCCGCGTGACAAGGTTTAGCTGGACAATGCTGATACATCGAAATGGTTATAAATAATTTTTTATATAATGTTCCAAAAGAGCACGCTTTCAAATTAAAAAAAAATTAATGATTTAATTTTTAAATAAACTTCAAAATTCTGACCTAAAATTTCTTGTGATAATTGATTCAATAGATTCATAATTGGAGTATTGAAAATATGAATTTATATTTCCATCATAATATTCAGAGAATCATTCCAATGAAATAATTGTATTTATCCCCTATCTAAATAAATTGTTTAAACTTATATAATAACATCTAATGACGCTATTTGGATAAGACGTGATATTGACACGCATGTACTAATTTAAGATAAGATCATTTCCGCATTCATTGAATACTAGGTTGTATTAATTCAAATACAAGGAGATACTTAGAGAAAGAGAGAGAGAAGCGTTCGTTGATAATGACGATCAAGTGTGTCATATGTTTCCGCCTTGAGAACGAGAACGTGTCAATAAAACCGTAATTTAAGCGCAGCAGCAACTAACTTGATATACAAGGCTGCTATACTAATCGATGTCAGAAAATCAACCGTAACAAGGAAGCGAGGGTGTGGCGTTAATTGAACGTTATCGCTGATTAATCGATGGTATTCAGGAATATATAAAGCAGAATTATACACATATTTTCATTATTATACGTGTGCTTATTGCAAGTAAATATGTGTAACACAATTCCACTAATTAATTAAAAAATATAATCCTTAAAAAGTAATGCATTCTGATATTATTGACGTGAAATTATTCTATAACAAAAGTTTTTTTTATCATTTAAACATTAACACATGCATTTCTTTACACAGCTGTGAAAAAATAATAAAGATTCTCAAGTCAACATACATTATGCTGTATCTCAACAAAAAAATTATCAAGAGATAAACTACTCATATATCTGAATCTTGTGATTAAAAATACGTATTTTATATTTTCAATTCACAGAATATTTATCCAATTTACAAGAAAACAATATAGCAAATGTATGTAAAACATTTTGTCATATATATATATATATATATATATATATATATTGCAGAATTAAAAATAAATAATATCTTATCAAAAGCATACAATATCATGACAATTACATTAAATTGTGTGTTGTTTTTTTTAACAGTGGCAAAGTTTTCGTCTTGTTTTCTGCAGTAAAGTACAGGCTGCCAGTAATCATCCTGGAAATGTTTTTATGACATCTGCTAATTTAGATTGAATTGTCGAGACGCAATTACAAGATCTCTCCTGGCGAGCAATTGAGAATAAGTTTCTCCTTCGTTAAGATTGTCGTGAAATGTCAGATTATTCGTGCAAGACATTTTCATTAACGCTATGATTATATATTCGTATAATTACGGGTTATGTCATACTCTTGATAATTTTTTTTTCATGTAACTTATTGATTTATTAAACTATTTATAAACTATAGGTATATGAAACTATAACTGCGCATCTTGCGTTTTATACTTGAATTTTTATAAATAATACGTTTTAAAACAAGATATCTCTTATGAATCTTTTAACATAGCTTTTTCGAAAAACATAATAAATCACGAATAAAAGGGCTTTAAACATAAATTTTTAAAGACCTCGCTAAAAGATAAATTAAAAATAAATTTCAGGTATTTAATTAATTTCAAATAGATTTTCACGTTTTAAATGTAATTTTAATTTAATGTTTCAATTATCAATAAATGTAATATTATATCATTTACGGATATTAAAAAATCGTGAGAAGGATAATGTTGAATTAAATATTCGTTGAAAAAATTCGAACCGTAAAATTCACTACTGTACGAAGTAAACTTTTACAGTACATAAAAGATTAAAATAAAAAAAATATAAACCAGAAGAGGATTCGTTTCACGATGATTGTACCTGACAACGACAACGCATTCGACCCTTTTCTCGTGTAGTTTGTCTGAAAAAGCAACGTTTCACGCTCGATTTGTCCAAGATCCCCTCTCAAAGAACCCACTCACGAAAATCAACCTGCGCGATTGCTCCTCGAAGCGTTCTCAGAGATATAAAACAGAACATAGAACATTGTTTTACCAACAAATCGCGGGCCGCAGTTGTTTCCTCCGTTTGATCCACGAGATCACTCGAAGAAAGCACATGGCTTCTTTCCTCTAACAATTTACGTCAGCAGAAGATCCGGCAAAACATCTGGACATAATTCTATTATGTAATATAGACCTTATACAACATCTTCTCTCTTTCCTTACTGTCATTTTTATATAATACTACAATACTTCTTTACATGTGTTCTTGTCGTGGCGATTTGTAGAGAACAGAAGAATTGCAAATATGTATTTTTTTTTTACTTGTCTTTCTTTTTAAAATACAAGTATCGTGTAAAAGATAAAAAGTAGTCTTAATAAAAAATTTTAATATAGTGACCAGAGAAAAACGTTATCTTTGTTTCAACGGTATGATGAGTTAAGCTGAATGAAATAAAGTATAATTTTATGTCTCAAATAGATGTAGTGAAAACTTTTTCTAACATCTTTTAATTTACTTTTTGTTACAGAATCAGTTTCCTTGACGGAACAGTCTGCATTTAAAGGTAAGTTTCAAGTACTGAATGCACTCTTCGAATCTTTCTTACAATCTAAAAATTCCAAATTAATAACGTGTAAATATTTATAAACCCAAAGCGTTATTTTATTAATTAAGTTTTATTTATATATTGTAAAAATTAGAAATCACTAATTTTATATTAAAGAGAATATAATCGTTAATGTAGATAATTTATAAATTAGCTAATAACTCGGGGGATGTTTCTTTAAAGCAATGTATAAATTGCAAAAAAAATCTTGTAAGAAAAAATGGTTGAAAAGAAAAATTTGATAATAAAAATTCTTATAAAAATCTGTCGTAATATTTACAACGCGCCGACAACAAATATTCGTATTCTCCTATACATATTTGTTCTTTTTACACATCCTGACAAACAACATAACGTCGATCCTCGCGAAGTGCATATTTAATTTTCAAGGAGACATATCGCTGCCGAATTCGCAATCGTTCGCAATAGTTCGTTATTTTGTTCGTATGCAGACGAGTAATCGAGTACACGTTGATCGCTTTTGCGATGTTTACTCGGTAAATAGTAAAGAGCCGTCCAGGAGATCTTTCATATAGCGAAACACACGAATCATAAAGCAGCGTGTTTGCGTACCCGAGATTGAATCCCACGTGTATGCGTCTAACGGAAATTGGCATCGGTCGATTCGCTCGAATTTTTGATTTCAATTGGATTACGGAGAAAATACCACGTGCAAAATGCTCACGAGAGCCACGCATCGTTGCTCGGGAACCAAGGTGCGATGGACCGTAACAGGGGATGCGCGTATAGGAACGTGCATTAGGATATGCGACGGAACCTCTCGAGCGTGCATCGAAATTTCAATTTAGAAAATTCACTGTACCGTTTTCATCCGGCTTAATGGATAGATACCGTCTTATTGTATCTTACTCTTCGTAATCATTTTTTTGTCTGTTGAGGCAACGTGCGACATTTCCGAACAAGATTTATCGTAGTCAATTCGAATCAGCATCCCTTACGAGACCATTAGAAAGGACTGCAAATTTATCAGTAATAATTAGCTTTGACAAAAATTGAACTTTAAATTCGTGAAAGAGAGAAATCTGTGAAATAGTCCTCGTTCGATTTCAACGTAGAATGATCAAAAAAAAGAAAGCTGCAAGACAGTGAAAAGATTACAAGGACCACGTGTTATTAATATACGAGGTACAAAATAAAAGGGTTACATATTTTAAGAGCAGATTTAAATAAGAAAAACATAAGAAAAAAATAAAATAAAATAAGAAAAATAAGAAAAAATGTCTAATATGAATATGGATCCTACAATTAATATCTTCGAATATACAGGCTATTCTTCTGTTTGAACTTATTGGCTTTTTCTTGATCATATTACCTTTATATCACAGTAAACAAAAGAATATTTACTAAATTAGGTCGGCATTATAAGAAATGATCTTTGTGGTTCCCATTCAATATCATGCATTTTTCAGTCCTACGTCTTAGATTCTTTCAAACATACTGGCTTGTTCATGAATTTACTAACATCCATTAAAAACTTTATGCTGATACCTATGGGCGTCCGCAGGATTTTTTTCCAGAAGGGAGCATAATTCATTTTTTTTGTTTCTTAATGGTTGTTCTTTCTTCATTTTTTAAAATTTATTTTTTTATATTAAATGCAAATAAATTTTAGTGTTTATTTTAGTTATTTAAAAGAAGAGCAAATACTTAATTTTAGGACCCATATTTATAAGACCTTTTTTCTTATTTCGACCAATGTTACCTGCTCTCAAAATATGCAACTTTTTTTAACACCCCGCATATTATCAAAAGATCACTATTTTTTTCGATAATTATGCAACCGCTATGTTGCAACAGAATCGTTCGTTCTATATTAATTTTAGGACCCATGTTTATTAGACCTTCTTTCTTAATTCGACCAATGCTACCTGCTCTCAAAATATGCAACTTTTTTTTAACACCCCGCATATTATCAAAAGATCACTATTTTTTTCGATGATTATGCAACCGCTATGTTGCAACAGAATCGTTCGTTCCATATTAATTTTAGGACCCATGTTTATTAGACCTTTTTTCTTAATTCGACCAATACTACCTGCTCTCAAAATATGCAACTTTTTTTAACACCCCGCATATTATCAAAAGATCACTATTTTTTTTTTCGATGATTATGCAACCGCTATGTTGCAACAGAATCGTTCGTTCTGTATTAATTTTAAGGCCCATGTTTATTAGACCTTTCTTAATTCGACCAATGCTACCTGCTCTCAAAATATGCAACTTTTTTTAACACCCCGCATATTATCAAATGATCACTATTTTATATTTTTTCGATAATTATGCAACCGCTGTTGCGACAGAATCGTTCGTTCGTTCGTATCGCGAGCGTGAATGCTACGGGGTCTGCTCGTTTCATACTTGTCCAACTCTCTCGGCCGATAAGCATTCCAACGCGGCTTTAAAATTAATAGCTTTCAACCACGAAGGTTGACGGCGGCCGCTATTGACATCGCACGCCCGCAAACGAACAAGGAAGTTGCGCGACTCGCGTGCGCGCGAAAATAATTAAACTCGAGAACGAGTTGCGCGTACGATAGTCGATCGATATTCTCCCATCAAAGACTGCGTTTTTACAATTAGGGTGATCAAGGGGTCAGGGGACTCTCTTCGAAACACGCGCTTTTCTCAAAGCTTTAGAGGATGATTGTCCCCTCTTTGCCTTCTCTTATTTCTTTCTTCTTTTAATCAGCGATATAAGCGAATCGTATATGTTGGCGCGCTTCTATTCTTTTTCATAAATGTTCTTTTCTTCGCTGCGCGGCAACACGCACGGTATTTTGCAAAGGAATCCTCTAATATATTTCGAGATTACTATACTGAATACAGGATGTACCCGAATCGTCTTTTTTTTAATCACGCAAATGTTGCAAGAAGGAAACTAAGGAGGTTTTTTCAATGTTGGAAACAAGTAATATTTTTGGATTATTTTACTTAAAAAGATTAAATAATGGTGGCAAAATAAAACTTGAAAAATGTGTACATGTATTATAAATAAAGCGAAGAAAGTCTTTTTCTACAAAATGATTCTAAGTCGGTATAAAAATCTTTTCTTCTCAAACACAAGGCGATTTAATGTAAATCTTATCGATCAAATATTTGTTTTTAAAACTTAAAAATTTGTGGTAGATAATGGCTTTCGTTAAACTTTTGAGCGAAAGCTCGAGAGATTTGTGGTTAAAGAATATATTGTGTGATTCCAGTAAATCCTGTATAAATTGTGACAATCAATATCTGCGAATTGTTTGCACGATTGCGAGGAACAGTGAAACTGTGGAAACTTTCTTTAACGAAGTGTTCGTTTCTCCACGGAAAGTGAAATGTGAATAATTGATATCGATATTCGAGAGAGCTTTTGGAGAAACTAATGGCTCGAGCCACTTATTGAAAGTGAATTTCGCAGAATTGCTTGTATTTCGACAAGATCTTTGACTTATATTTATGTTCTTCGAATGAGCGAGTGCGAAATCATCTTTCTTCATCTTAATCGTAAGACATTCTATCGAACATCTGAAAAATGCTTATTCCTCGCTCGATTAATTTGCATGTATCTATAAGGCACGATTCGCGATATAAAATGTTAATGATTCGGCTGAAAATTTTTCAACAAAGAATGTTCGATTTTTTATTAATTATTATATAATAACCTGATAGTTATTTTCCCTCGTAGTTTTACATGATATAAAATTAATCATTTTAATTTCAAATTATTCATTAAACGTTAATTACTTGTTAGAAATGCTATTAATAATTAATAAAAAAATTTGTAGTATTATATAATTGCGTTAAAAGTTTTCCTCCAATTATAACAAAATTTTATTCAAAATTTGCATATTTTATAAATAAGTTTCTGCTAACGAAATAACTAATAGGAATTCCAATCCAAACTTTCATGTGCGCGTCTAATCACAGAGAGTTCCCCACGGAATTTTCGAGAAATGTGTAGTGAGTATCACTATAATTGACATTACACTTTCGATATTAATTATTTATTACATATATGTTTCATCTTTGACATTAAAATGTTGGCCATTAATTTGTAAATATTTATATAATGTAAACAGTTAATTTTTTGTATCAAAAGAATATAATATCTATATGATTGATGTATGTGCTTGTAAAACGATTAAAATAATTTAAACATAAATAATATAAGTTGATATTTTTATTTTTTAATAAAAAATATATTGTTTTAATAAATGAAGATGCCAGGTCGAATATACGCATACATGTAATATATTTTATCATTTCATCTAGAGTCTAGTCTACTTGTTTTTTTATTAAAAAAAAAAAAAAAAAAGAATGTGACGTTTATCGATCGCGATAACGCGGATTATATTTCCGGAAATATTTCCTTTTCAGTGAATCAAGGGGTACATTTGAAAGATTGCAACGAAGAATTTTTGCGATTGAACATGAGCAATTGAGATTCGCCAGAGGTGACGAACCGCGAGCTACCGTGACGATTATTTGCGAATTGTGATCGAAAAACGATTCGCCATTACCATTATGGAGAGCAATTTTATATATGCTTAATGTAATTTACATTTACTTATAAAACCATTTTTCGCACAACAAACCTTATGCGGTGCAAATATTCAGAGTCTCTAAATACAAAGGAATCTAAAACTAGATTACTGGTTCAATAATAACACTCCTTCCTGTTTCAAATGGAAGACTCAAGAATAGAAGCTGCAAAAATTAATAGAAAAAAAAAGAGAGATCCTTTCAGTACTCTCTTTGAATCTAACAAATACTGAATTATATTTCCGGAAATTACAAAGCGCGCAAAAAGGGCAATAAATAAGCGGCAATATGTAAAGTAATTAAAATGAAAAAGGAGCTTTCCTCTCAAAGGTGTAACATAGCGGGAGGATGGGCGAAAGGCTGAAAGACTCCGCGTTTCGTATCTCGAAGTAAAATCTCCCATCCGAGGTGGA